GACCCCACAGAACTCCGGGAAGGGTACCTCCCGTGGACCCTAACACGATCACCTGCCGAGCAGCCGATACTGGATGCGGCCTTAAACCCCGAACAACAGGCGCAGATGTGCCATGTGATTGCCCAAATTCCAGGGGGTTTTGATAACAAACCAGGGTACACGAGACTTGCAACCCACCATATCCACACCAAAACAGGTAAGGTGGCGCGGGCACGATGGCGGCCTCTACCCAGAAAGCAGTGGGAAATCATTGGCCAAGAGGTGCAAGAGATGCTTCGGATGGGGGTGATAGAACCGTCCCAAAGCGCGTGGCGCAGCCCCATCGTACTGGTGCCAAAGCCGGACGGGACTGTACGTTTTTGCGTGGATTATCGAGAAGTGAATAAACTATCCACCTTCGACGACTACCCGATGCCACGCGCCGATATTCTGATCGACTAGTTGGGGCAAGCCAAGTACCTTACGGCACTCGATTTGACCAAAGGCTACTGGCCAGTGCCCGTACATCCGCCAGACCGTGAAAAGACGGCCTTTGCCGCACCTCCAGGCTTGTTCCAATTCCGCCGGATGCCGTTCGGCTTACAAGGGGTGGCAGCCACTTTCCAGCGCCTGGTGGACAGAGCCTTAGCACAGTGTGCAGGCTATGCCCGCGCATATATCGATGATATAGTCATATGTAGCCCGGACTGGCCTACCCATTTAGAACATGTCCGATCGGTCCTGACGGCATTACGTGATGCAGGGCTGCACGCCAACACACGGAAGAGTCGCGTGGGCTTCCAGGAGCTTTGCTATTTGGGCTTCATGGTCGGTAAGGGACAGCTTAGACCCCTGCCGGAAAAGGTGACATCTGTGGAGCAACATCCCCGACCCACGACTAAACGGCAGCTTCGTCGATTTCTGGGGATGGTGGGATACTACGGCAGATTCATCCCGCACTTTGCCACCAAGGCGGGCCCCCTGACAGACTGTCTACGTAAAACACAGCCCAATACCATACGGTGGACACCGGCGACGGAAAGCGCCTTCAACGCCCTGCGCAAAAGTCTATCCTCCGGACCGATCCTACAGAACCCCGATTTCTCCATCCCATTCACCTTACACACAGACGCCTCCAATACGGGGTTGGGGGCCGCCCTTACGCAAGAGCGGCAGGGAGTCGAACGACCGGTGCTGTTCCTTAGTAGGAAATTGCAGCCAGCGGAAGTGAACTATTCCACAGTAGAAAAAGAGGCCCTCGCGGTTAAGTGGGCGGTGAGTTCACTTCAGTACTATTTAGCCAACAATCCTTTCTGCCTGATCGTGGACCATGCTCCGCTGGTCTGGTTAGAACGCATGAAGGATCACAACCCCAGAATCCTGAGGTGGTATCTCTCTCTCCTTCCCTTCCAGTTCGTCATCGAACATCGAGCGGGACGACAACATAAAGTCGCTGACTACCTGTCCCGACTGGATGCCGACCCCACACCACCCAGCAAAAGGGGGGTGTCCCGGTAGCCCCTGGGACGTTCCTGGGGACCTCCCGGGGCCCCCGGGGTGGGCCACAAAGATACCCAATGGCACGACCCCAATACTGGCCCCGCAGCATACCTGCAACCGTCCCGACGGAGGAGCCTCGGCTGGCGGCTCGGTGACGGGGCACAGCACGGCGGAGGGAGGCGCCGGGGTGACGCTGCTGCCAGGCGGCCGTCCCTGCGGCGAAGGAGCCGGCCGGGCACGGAACCGCCCACGTTCAACACCGAGGGCCCCGGAGAACGCCGGAGCGCATACGCCACAATGTCGGGCTTCCGGGGAGCCGGGAGTCGACGGGGCAAAGGCAGATGCTTCGGCGTCCACACTTATGAACGGGGGCGGAGCCAGGGCGGTGGGTGTGACCAGAGGGGAGTTGGAAATAAAAGCGGATGAGAGGCGAGCCAGGGAGGATTTGCTGGGATGGTTGAAGGCACAAAGTGATTGCTAGGACAGAGAGAGAGCGTAAGCATTCACGCACGGCTAACCAGACCAAGAGTGGGCTTGGGGAGGTGAAGTAACCTCCTGAAGGTCCGACATCTGAGGCAAACCCTCCTCCAGAATAACCATTTCCACTCCACTTCCAGGGCACTCCCAACGCCCTGGGGAGGTTCAGGGTTCGGTCCACCCTTCAGACGTCACGGCGACGGGTGGCAGTCCTGCCCGGGAGCAGCAGGGGCGCCACAAGCCCTATGTAGAGCAAGTTACAGTAGTCTAATCTGGAGGTGACCATTGCATAGATTACTGTAGCCAGGTCAGGGCGAGACAGGTAGGGGGCCAGTTACCTGACTAGTCTGGCAATGTTTGTGATCTTGGCCTCCCCTGATATGGAGGCATCCAGAATCACACCCAGGCTCCCAACAGTTGGTGCCGGTGTTAAGGGCACCCCGTCAAGAGCCAGGAGTTGGCATCTCAAACCCGATTTCCCCTCACCCATCTACAGAACCTCCATCTTAGCAGGATTCCGTCTCAGCCAACTCTGTTTCCACCATCCCACCACGGCCTCCAACCTCTCAGCCAGATTTGCTGACGCCGTATCCAGCCAGCCGCCCATCAACAAATACAGCTGGGTATCGTCAGCATACTAGTGACCAATGTTCCCTCTAAGCTGTGGAGTCTTGTGAGCAAAAATTCTAGTCTGTGAGCCACTGGCATTAAAATTGTGATCAAGCGATTTGGCTACTGCATAAATTAGTTTGCTCTGGAGCCCTCCTTCCTGAGCTAGGACAAAAATCTGTGAGCCGGTGGCTAAAAAACTGTGAGCTGGCTCACACTAACTCAGCTTAGAGGGAACACTGTTGGTGACACCCAGCCTGAAATTCTGCACCAATTGGGCGAGGGGCACATGTAGATGTTAAACAACACTGGGGAGAGGATTGTACCCTGAGGGACCCCACATACTAGGACACCCTCTCTCCCAGGCACCACCCTCTGCCCCCGACCTTGGAGAAACGAGGTGAGCCACCTCAGGACTACCCCACCAAGCCCCGTGTTGCTGAGGCAGTAGGTCAAAAGGTCACGATCGACTGTCCAACGCTGCTCTCAGATCAAGCCGTAACAGCTGACCCGCCTTGATGATCCAACTGCTTGCAGAGATCGTCCATGAGGGCAAACAAGGCTGTCTCCATCCTATGGCCAGGGCGAAAACCGTACTGGAGTGGGTCCAGCGCCAATGTGTCATCCAGGGAATTCTGGACCTTTCCTGCCTGTATCCAGGGACAGATTGATAACATCCACCAAGGGGACCCCGTATTCCCTCACCACCGGCCTTAACCAGCATGAGGGGCACAGGTCTATGAGGCACGCGGTTGGCCTAACAGCACCCAGAATCCTGTCAACATTAATTTAAAACAAGCACACCCGCCCAACCCAACCTGATGAGGGGGGAGGATGCGCGCAGCCCTTTGAAAGTTCAGAGTGGCTGAGTGCCAGTTAAGGGGGGGGGGACGGGAACAGGGAAGTGAGGCAGTGCAGGAGGTCAGCTCAAGTCCCTGAGGAGGAAGCGCCTCACCTGTCTGTCTCCTCCCTCTGTCTGCGTTAGTCTTCGTGGGCCCCCAGTTCCTATGATGGGAGTTCAGAGTCTCCTCTCTGTGACGACAGGGAGGCCTATTCAAAACCTAATGCCAGTTTGAGTTCGAGAGCCAGTTTGGTGTAGTGGTTAAGTGCGCGGACTCTAATCTGGGAGAACCGGGTTTGATTCCCCACTCCTTCCTTTGCAGCTGCTGGATGACCTTGGGCAAGCCGTAGTTCTGATAAGAGCTGTCCTTGAAAAAGAACATAAGAACATAAGAGATGCCAATGTTGGATCAGGCCAAAGGCCCATCCAGTCCAACACTCTGTGTCACACAGTGGCCAGAAATACCAGGTGCCATCAGGAGGTCCTGCTTATCTAATTCCCTTTTGAAGCCGTCCATGCTTGTAGCCGCCACCACTTCCTGTGGCAGTGAATTCCATGTGTTAATCACTCTTTGGGTGAAGAAGTACTTCCTTTTATCCGTTCTAACCCGACCGCTCAGCAATTTCATGGAGTGCCCACGGGTTCTTGTATTGTGAGAAAGGGAGAAAAGTACCTCTTTCTTTACCTGCTCTTTCCCATGCATAATCTTATAAACCTCGATCATGTCACCCCTCAGTCGTCTTTTCTCCAAGCTAAAGAGCCCTAAGCGCTTTAACCTTTCCTCATAGGGAAAGTGTTCCAACCCTTTTATCATTCGAGTTGCCCTTTTCTGCACTTTTTCCAAAGCTATAATATCCTTTTTAAGGTGTGGTGACCAGAACTGCACACAGTATTCCAAATGAGGTTGCACCATTGATTTATATAGGGCCATTATGATATTGACTGATCTTTTTTCAATACCCTTCCTAATAATCCCCAGCATAGCATTGGCCTTTTTTATTGCAGTCCCTCTTGTCCACATGCTTGTTCACCCCCTCAAAGAACACTAACAGGTTAGTGAGACAAGATCTTCCCTTACAGAACCCATGCTGAGTCTGCAGTTTCTGTCAGAGCATTCCCAGCCCTGCGGACCTCACAGGGTGTCTGTTGTGGGGAGGGGAAGGGAAAGGAATTTGTAAGCCGCTCTGAGACACCTTTAGGTAGTGAAGGGCGGGGTATAAATCCAATCTCCCATTCTTCTTTTTCTTCTAATGAAGAAATGCTTCCTTTACGAAGCATAAATAGCTTGGATTCTGTGTGGAATGCACTTCACTAGTAGTTTGTTGTAGCAAATAATTGTATGTAATTCACAAGGCGACATTGTCATTATTTTGTCCATGTGCCAACCTTTGTGCTGCAAATTCAAATTTTTAGCTTATGTATTATGCAGAAGGAGACTTGGCCAGAAGTGTATGTTCCCGACAAACTCTTCCAGCTGCTCCCCCACCCTTCCCCTGCAGCCCTCAGCGTTTGGTATCTGGATGTAGAGAGCATCACATGAATTGTGGCCATTCCCAATGCACAAGAATGTAACATTATACTCTTTCTTTTTCAGTCCTAGGAATTGTTCTTCCTATTTGGGCAATAGCTCTAATTTCCATTGGCGTATCATTGGTCTTTGCTATCTTAGTCTGGATAGTGGTGTGTCCGTGGATGAGAAGAAAAATAGCAAGTATGTCTTTTGGGAAGCAAAAATGAATCTGGCTGAAAAAACATTGTCAAATAGAATGCCTTTTACCTGTGGATGAAAAACTGGTTTCAGAATATTTTAATAAATGGTTTGTTGTCTGCTCAGTAAATATTTTGCATTTAGTTGCTTGTATTTGTCTAAACAAAGAAAGCAAACCATCATCCAAGGGGCACAAAGCAGCTTGCATGTACCAGTCCGACTTTTAATCCACCTCTCTTTTAACCAACACTCTCCCGTGCCATGTCACAAATCGATTTGAAAGTTGTCTTAAGTAGAAAATGGCATTTATTTATTTATTTATTTATTTATTTCCATTTATATCCCGCCCTCCCCGCACGCAGGCTCAGGGCGGCTCACAAGGCACAAAGTGCAATAAAGATAAGACAGATTAAAACAACTGAAGCTAAAAATTCACAACTAACAGGATACGTGAAAGACTGAAATTACACACTCCCCATTGCATATCAGGAGGAGGTCAGAAGATCAAAAAGGGGGGGCCGCCATGGGCCGCGATGTTCCAGTTACTCCATCCCCCTCCCCTGCCCCTTGCACAGTATTTGGGGTCTGAGACAGAATTCCCTATAAAATCTAAAGGCTGAAAAAGATGGGATATGTCTCTATCCTGCCCTTTGTGTGGCTTCAGTTTGCCTTGGAGCCCTTGGAGAAGAAAGAGGAGGTTTAAGTCTTCAACCTTTGTTTTACTTTAGTAATTCGAACCAGCTACCCTGCTCTGCTGTGAGCATTTTAAAGGGATGTTTGTTTTTATCCTTGTAAAATAATGATAAAGAAACATGGAGCGAGGTCATGATTAGAGAAACTGTGTGGAAGTTTAAGAATTAACCTTCCTTCCACATACAGCCCCAAGGCAAACTGAGGCTGTTTTATATTCTATAAAGATGTGTGAACATCATCTGTGTGAGTCCTGAGTTGCCTTTAGCTCGGGGAAGTTAACTAAGGCTAAGAGGTATATTAAAGATCAGTAAAATATTGGTGGCCTGCGTGTGTGTGTATACGCACAAATTAAAAAAAATATATGTTTGGGCTGTTTAACAAGACAGCGAAGTACTAAGTAAACCGCTCTAGTCAGTAACATCTAATACAGATGAATGATGGAACTGATGGTTAAAGCTCTGAGTTTTCCTTAGGTCGGTTAAAGAAAGAAGGTGCCCTATCAAGAATATCTGACGAAAGCCTTGACAAGATCCCAGAGGAGGACGCAGCTGTCTTCAGAGAGCTTCCTGGTGCCAAGGCAGCGGATGAAAGCACGATCCCCCTCACTGGCTCTGGGACAGAAGAGGCGGGCGTATCAGACAGTGTGGCTAATGGGAGTCACCCACGTGTTCCATATGGTAAGAGTCTGCATGAGGGGGGCAGGGACTCATTTGACATGTTGTTCCAGGCTGCTGCCATGTGGGTTATTCACCAGGGGACCAGAATGCGGGCAAGAGCATCTGATCTCCCCTTCTCTCTAGTGGCAGAGCAAGGTCACAGTGGAAGGGGGACGAACTGTCCAGTTGTAGGTTTCTGGATGAAACAGAATATGCTGAGTGTGCCTGGACTGCTGTGTGGCATGGGGAAGGTGGACCCCGCGCGGAGGAGCAGCAGTTTGTAGCCATCTCAGCTTCTGGACTCTATCAGACCCGCCTGCTTCTGCACTGACCTCCTGCCCAGGCATCAGCCACCCACCATGGGAATAAGCGCTGGATTTATTTTTGAGGGAGTTCCCTTCCTCATAAAATATATGTTTTTTCTATTGTGTTCAACCTCTCCCAAGTCCCCTTATTTCAGTTCTTTCCGTGATTTAAAAATCCCCTTTCCTGCCCCAACAAAACTCGGCGCACAGCAAAAAGCATTAAGCCCTGAGCTGCTCGTGTCCTTTGGAGCTGCTCTTCGACAGCTCCCTGCTCAGCAAGTCTTTTCCAGGGCTGGGGAGGCAGGGCAAGGAAGGGCTCGGCTGCAGCATGGATCCTGTGACGACTTCCTCTGGGACTCGTCTCATTCAGGACTCCAAAGCATTTTACTCTGGCAGCTAGTTAATTATATTTTGGAGCATAAACGTTAAGCTGGCACAACTATAAGGAAAAGAAGTTTACTATTTGCTGAAGCTTCTCTAGCCATAGTTCTGGTTTACTTTTGCAATAAAACGTTTCTCTCTGCCGTTTCAGGGAGGGCATTTTCAATGACTCACAGTACGGTGAAATCTCCGATTTCCAACGGCACGTTTAATTTTGATGGACACATGAAGAGTGATGTTCATGTGTATCACACTGTACACAAAGACTCAGGGTTGTATAAAGATTTACTGCACAAAATACACTTAGACAGGGGCAACAGTGACAGACCAGCCCAAGAAAATAACTACAAGTTCCTGCGGCGCAACAACAGCTACACTTGTTATACGGCCGCCATATGTGGGATGCCAGTGCATTCTTCCTTCAAGGCTACTGATACATCCACTCCAGAAGACAGTGAGAAACTTGTTGGGGACACAGTGTCGTATTCCAAAAAACGGGTGCGCTATGACAGCTACTCCAGCTATTGCAATGCCGTGGCGGAGGCAGAAATCGAAGCAGAGGAGGGTGGCGTGGAGATGAAGATGGCGACAGAGTTGGTGGATCCTAATAATCCCACAGAAGATCCTGCGGAAGAGGAGAGAGATGAGAAGGACACCTCAGAGGTCCACCTGCTTTTCCACTTTCTTCAGATCCTTACAGCTTGCTTTGGATCCTTTGCACACGGAGGCAATGACGTTAGGTAAGTGTGGTAAGCTTGTGTGTGGAACTGTTCCACTGGCTGTGGAGTGTTCATGAGAGGCATGCCACAGAATTTTATAAACGTCATTCTTTAAAAAAAACACACCAGAGGTTGTTCAAACGATTGTCTTCATTAGCAGTTATAGGACCTGCACTCAAACTGCTTTCTTGCATGAATCCTCACTGCCTGTTTGTGCTAGGTTCCATGTCTTAATTTAATTGGGTCAACAGAACATATTGTGTTCTAGTCGAGAAAAAGAGATCGAGTTTCTAGACACTCTAAATGACTGTGCTATGGAGCAGATGGTCACAGAACCTACCAGGGGAGAGGCGATCCTTGATTTGGTCCTAAGTAACACTCAAGACCTGGTGAGAGATGTAAAAGTGATTGCACCGCTTGGGAACAGTGATCATAGTGTTGTTGAGTTCAACATTTGTACAAATAGGGAATTGGCCAAAAAGACTGACACAGCCACTTTTAACTTTAAAAGGGGTAACTTCTCTGATATGAGGGGACATGTGGGGAGGAAACTGAAAGGAAAAGTAGAAAGGGTCAAAACCACTGGGGAAGCTTGGAAACTATTTAAAACTACGATTCTAGAAGCTCAAAAAAATATATTCCGCAGGTTAGGAAAAGCACAAACAGGTATAGGAAAAAGCCTGCATGGTTAACAAACAAAGTAATGGAAGCTGTAAACAGTAAAAAGGATTCCTTTAAGCAGTGGAAAGCTAGTCACAGTGAGGCTGATAAAACGGAACACAGGCTATGGCAAATAAAATGCAAGTCTGTAGTCAGGCAGGCAAAAAGGGAATATGAGGAGCATATAGCAAAAAACGTAAAAACCAACAATAACACTTTCTTCAAATACATTAGAAGCAGGAAACCAGCCAGGAAGGCAGTGGGGCCCTTGGATGACCAAGGGGTAAAAGGAATACTGAAGGATGATAGGGAAATGGCTGAGAAGCTAAATGCATTTTTTGCCTCCGTCTTCACTGTGGAAGATGAGAAGTGCTTGCCCACTCCAGAACCACTGATTTCAGGAGGGGTGTTGAAAGACCTGAGTCAGATTGAGGTGACGAGAGAGGAGGTCCTAAAACTGATAGACAACTTAAAAACTGATAAATCACCAGGCCCAGATGGCATACATCCGAGAGTTCTGAAAGAACTCAAATGTGAACTTGTAGATCTCCTGACAAAGATATGTAATCTTTCCTTAAAATCTGCCTCCATTCCTGAGGATTGGAAGGTAGCAAATGTCACTCCCATCTTTAAAAAGGGTTCCAGAGGAGATCCGGGAAATTACAGGCCAGTCAGTCTGACGTCGATACCGGGTAAATTGGTGGAAACCATTATTAAGGAAAGAATTAGTAGGCACATAGATGAACAAAACCTATTGAGGCAGACTCAGCACGGTTTCTGTAAGGGAAGATCTTGTCTCACTAACCTGTTAGTGTTCTTTGAGGGGGTGAACAAACATGTGGACAAGGGGGATCCAATAGATATTGTTTACCTTGACTTCCAGAAAGCTTTTGATAAAGTCCCTCATCAAAGGCTCCTAAGTAAGGTAAAAAATCATGGGATAAAAGGACAAGTCCTTTTATGGATCAAAAACTGGCTAATTAATAGAAAACAGAGAGTGAGTATAAATGGGCAATTCTCTAAGTGGAGGGTGGTAAGCAGTGGGGTACCGCAGGGATCAGTACTTGCTTTTTAACTTGTTCATTAATGATTTGGAGTTGGGAGTAAGCAGTGAAGTGGCTAAATTTGCGGATGATACAAAGTTGTTCAGGGTGGTGAAAAACAGTGGGGATTGTGAGGCACTCCAAAGGGATCTGTCAAAGATGGGCAAGTGGGCTCAACATGGCAAATGGGGTTCAATGTGGCCAAGTGCAAGGTGATGCACATTGGAGCCAAAAATCCTAACTATAAATACACATTGATGGGGTCTGAACTATAAATACACACTGATGGGGTCTGAACTGGCAGAGACTGATCAAGAGAGAGATCTTGGAGTTGTAGTAGATAACTAACTGAAAATGTCGAGACAGTGTGTGACTGCACTAAAAAAGGCCAATGCTATGCTGGAGATTATTAGGAAGGGTATTGAAAACAGATCAGCCGATATCATAATGTCCCTATATAAATCAATGGTGCGACCTCATTTGGAATACTGTGTGCAGTTCTGGTCACCACACCTTAAAAAGGATATTATAGCTTTGGAAAAAGTGCAGAAAAGGGCAACTCAAATGATAAAAGGGTTGGAACACTTTCCCTATAAGGAAAGGTTAAAGCGCGTAGGGCCCTTTAGCTTGGAGTAATGACTACTGAGGGGTGACATGATCGAGGTTTATAAGAGCATGGGATAGAGCAGATAAAGAGGTACTTTTCTCCCTTTCTCACAATATAAGAACTCGTGGGCACTCAGTGAAATTGCTGAGCGGTCGGGTTAGAACGGATAAAAGGAAGTACTTCTTCACCCAAAGAGTGATTAACACATGGAATTCACTGCCACAGGAAGTGGTGGCGGCTACAAGCATGGACGGCTTCAAAAGGGAATTAGATAAGCATCTGGAGCAGAGGTCCATCAGTGGCTATTAGCCACAAGGTATAGATAGGGGCTCTGGGGCAAGTGATGCTCTGTCTTCTTGGTGCTGGGGAGGGGGGGGGTCAACAGTGGGAGGGCTCCTAATGTCCTGGCCCCACTGGTGGACCTCCTGAAGGCACCTGGTATTTCTGGCCACTGTGTGACACAGAGTGTTGGACTGGATGGGCCTTTGGCCTGATCCAACATTGGCGTCTCTTCTGTTCTTATGAGTCCCCTGGACTGCGTCTTAAAACAGAAACTCAAGGCAAATGAGAGACTTGAAATTTGCCAAGCTCCTAATTTGACCTTCAGTTTCTTAAACCACAATGTCCACGCCAGCATGGCATCTGTACCAGCCTTAGGGGGGCGTGTGTGTGTGGCCAGTGACATATGTTCGCAGGTCAGAATGTGGCAGATAGTGAACACACCTGGGGTCTACACAAAACTTATACTGGAGCTGTTCCCCACCACCACCACCCCACTTCACGTTTTATGGGTTTTATAGTTAGCTGTCCTAATTTAAAAAGTCTTCCTTTCTGCTTCTCAGGAAATAATGATGAAAAATCCTTGAAACAGCAACTAAATTACGGGTGACATTTGTAAGTATTTTAATCAGGGCTTTTTTTGTAGAAAAAGCCCAGCAGGAACTCATTAGCATAATAGGCCACACCCAACAGCACAAACTTGTTAGCATATTAGGCCACAACCCTGACAGTACAGCTCATTAGCATATTAGGCCACACACCCCATGCCGGCCCTTGGACAAGCCGGGGAAGGCACAGGGAGGCATTTATATGTCTCCCTGATCCTTCCAGGGCCCCCCCCCCCGCCTCAGAGTAACCGGGGGTGTGTGTGTCGCTCTCCAGGCCTTCCCTCTGTAGCTGCGCACGCAGAGGTTTTGGTTGTAGTGGGTGTGGCCAACTCTGAAGCCAGCCGGAACTCTGTTCCTGTGCGTTCCTGCCCCAAAATAGCCCTGATTTTAATGATGTAGAAATGGAAAATATAGCCATCGTATTGCTACAGGCAAAGCTGAAAATCTTTGGGGGATTATTCCCTCTTGGTCAAAAACAGAATGCCACCACAGATTTCAAGCCAAGTCATTTTGCTGACACACGCAACATGTTCTAACAGAATCAAAGTACTACAGGCAGAATATTTTTTCCTCAATTTTGAGTGGCCATCAGTACAATGGAGCATGTAAATTGCTAGCAGGAAAAACCAGTACTACGATCAAGATGGAAGTCTTTTTCACGTGACGTTCAGGATTCAAAGACAGGCGATGGTGTGAGCAGCCAGGCAGCCCTGCAAGGCCCAGGCAGTGGCGGAGCGTTCCCAAGGCCAGGCTGGAAGTGGACATGGCTGGGCCGGAAGGGAGCGACCCCGGCCGAAGGAGGGGTGGGGCTCACGCCAGCAAGTGGCCAGCCGATGGCTTGCCAGTGTGCAGGGATCCACAGGGGCACAACAGCCTGTGGGGAAAAAGAGGAAAACATTGTAAAAAGGCCTTTGGGGAAACTACCCCACTCATAGGGGCCAGGGACCCATTCTGAGGCCACTGGAGATGTGGCAGCCAAT